TGAAATCAGACAAAAACTGTAGGGAGAGTAGTTTTTTTTCAAAAATTGTTTTACAGACAGAGAGACGGACGCCGGACGCATTACTATCGCATAAGCTCTTCTGGTCTCTGACCAGTAGAGCTAAAAAAAGTACTTTTAGGCCATAATAAAAATATTCCTAGATTCTCATCCCCGCCCGCCCCGATTTTATACCCCCGCCTCGATTTTTTTTATTTCTGTTTTTCTTCGTCTTTATTCTGATCGGGATCGGTATTCATCTACCATTCTACTTTCGTTTTAAATCCCGCGAAAGTCGACATGATTTTGACAACTGAAAATACATGCGTATATATTTCAAACAAGGGTCATTGGTTGTAAAAGATTGGTGATTATGTGAAGTAAGAGATAATTGAACCTTTACTATGACTTTTATTCGGGTATTGTAGATAAAATTACGCCGATTGACAGGTCAATAAAAAATCTGCAAAATTGAAAAGATAAAAAATATAAAATAAAAGCCGCCCGCCTGCCTCGATTTTTAAAAAAATTCGGATGAGAATCTAGCAATTTATTTATTATGGCCTTACAGTTCGTCATTACATAAAAGGAGATCCACATCTGCACAAAAATAAACAAGAACTATAATGCACAAAATGAAAAGAAAAATTTTATTTCATACTTTTTAGCATATGTTCATTAATATTTCTCCAAAACTTTTATACAATAATTGGCCACTGGCTACAGCACTCATCTGAGTTACGTTAGCTCTGATGTTCTCCAAAGATTTTTAATAATTCCTTTGAAAAATGGTGACCCTATTATATGCCCATTCTTGTAACTCTATGGAGTATCTAAATTCACACACTATCGGGATGCTTCAATATCATTACATGAATGACTAAAACAGCCTGTTGCGATGGAGGAGAAAGTTTTTTTTTCCTGTATACATGCATAATGTAAAATTTGATCCTGATTTTAATCAACTTTAATCTGGGGTCCATAATTTAAAAAAAAATTAATTCATACAACAGGGAATGTTTGCAAATTAAAGGATACTTTAGATTGAAAAAATCCTTATAAACAAGAGATGTTTGTAAAACACTTATGCCCCCCTCCCCCAAATTGGAATTTTTCCAAGTCCAAGGGGCATAATTGTCCAAAATGGTGCAATCGTACCCACAACAGAACTTGACCCAAATATTCACCTGATAAATCTGTTTACTAAATTTCATTTCAGTATGTACAACCTCTGCAAAGAAAATGAATGGAAACTACAAATTATTGGAATTTTTCTAAGTCCAAGGTGCATAACTCTGTCCAAAATGCACAAGAGAAGTTGACCTAGATATTCCTCAGATAAATCTGTATACCAAATTTTATTTCAGTATGTGCAACGGTTGTGAAGAAAATTAACGGAAACTAAGTGAACCCACAGACAGATTTCTGGGAGTAAAACTTTGATCAAAAACTTTAGGTCTGACCTATAGACGAGTTATAAAAAGACTGGTATTTTAGAAGGTCAATCCCTCTAATATAAGCTTAAAAAATACATCTGACTATAAGCAAACAGACTTATAGGCGAGTATATACAGTACCTCTATTGTAGCCCAAAGTTATCCCCCCTCCCCTCCATTTACTCAGTAAATTACTCAATATAAATTCTCACTCTTTTCTGGCCCAGTGGTTCTTGAGATATACCGTAATTTTATTCTGTCCCACCTCTTTTTGCTCTTTCTTTACTTCTTTCCATTGGAGGCCACTTCCAGGCTTGGCCATCATTTCAACAATAAAGAATTTCCTTTTCCAAGGATGCTTTGTGCCAACTTGGGTTAAAATTGTTAAATTGTTTCTTGAGAAAATAAGTTTACTGATGCATGGACAAACAAACTATATAGATAAAAGACATTGATCAGAAAACATCACTTGAGCATTCAACTCAGTCAGGCAAGCCTAGAAACATTACTCATTTGGATTTGCTCCATAGCTCAGCAAGATATCAACTGCTCCTTCCTGATTTTCATAACAAGCACAGAAGAGGGCTGTTTGTCCAAGACTGTTTGGATAATCAGCTGAGATGCCTGAAAGAATAAACATGCAATTATATACACTTATGAACAATGTTGTGCATTCGAGAGTAAAGTGGGTACCAATTCTTCTTGAGCTGTGAAGTCTAGTAACAAGTGATGCATTTCCTTTGTCTTGCAAAGAAATTTCAAGTTTTAAGATATTAAGGTATTATGTATACATGTAACATCTAGTAATTTTGAATAGTGACATTTTTATACACAGGACAATAAAAAAAAATTGTTATTAAGTAATAAATAAACTACCGAACTGTTAGATCTGCATTCACTTAATGCTCTCTCTTCCAATGAAGCATTATTAATAAATCAGTATTAGACAAACTTGAAAGGGACATAACTTTTGCTGTTAATACATGCATCTAACCTTTAATATCATGTCCAATGATCACATCAAAGCAAAAAAAAATATCATTAGGACATTCATTTACCAGCTAACTTTTTTTTCTTCAAATTTTCATATCGTTTATTCATCCAATTATATCTTGTGACTCAATTAAATATTCTAATACCTGTGGCTAAAATTTTCTTCAATTTTTTTCTGTTGCCTAATTTTGCAGCTGTGTGCAAATCATTGCCGAGTTTGTCATTGGGATCCATTCTTCCAATCAGAACTGCATCTGCTGCCATGTTATATAATTTCTTTAAACAGAAAAGGATTCTATCCTTTAATTTGTGAAAAAGCTTGATGTAAATATCTTGTTTTAATAAACAAAGTTGCTTGTTGATACATCATTTTCAAGACCATTAATTCAAATTCAAAGATCTTTTACTGATTTTGTTTTAATTTTATCTACATTCTGCGTAATCAATATTCCCCTTGCACACCTTTAATTGCATAGCATATAAAATAAAACTACAGGTTTTGAAAATTAATTAAATTTTGCTATCCGTATAATAAAACAATTAAAGAAGTAGTAGACTAGATAAAGTACCACCGTATATCGAGGGGGTCAGCAAGATTCCTTAACTTTAATTCTCAAAAGTCGGCAGGTAGACAGGTTGGCAGGTGAAATTGCGGATCAAGAAAATGAAAGGTGTATTACCATTTTGTTTAATGTATGTGTTGGACGATGGGCATGAAATCTACCTGGATGTGATGTAAATCCGTCTACGTGCTGACCCGCCTACATATCTGTATACCTGCAAACCTATCTACATGCCAACCTGTCTACCTGCTGACCCGACTACCTGCCGACCCACCTATGCCTAGGGTTTGCCTACACCCACTGGGGGCTTCGGTGCAGTCCCCCCGAACCTCCTGCAGTTTCCTGCGTCCACCCCTGTTCCGAAATTCCTGGATCCGCCACTGGTAATTTCATCTCAAACAATATAATGTTCTTATTGTAAAGGTATTTCACGTACCAAGTTGGACTGAGATCACATTTTTACCCTATAATATATTAATTTCTTGGGCATATTTGCTCCGTTCAAGTTAGTTCCCTATTCTGTATCTGTATCCTGGCGTATTGTATTTTCGACCTATTTAGATATAATTTATTAATTTATTGCAAACTTTATAGAAACTGAAAAACTATGGGCTTAAAATGTTAGCATATGTGTCTATGAATAAAATTATACAACCCAAATTGCAGTTTTGTGTTTATTTTATTTATATGCCATTATATGGGGAGGTTGCATTTTTACCTACAAAAATATTAGCGTCTTGTGTTTTCGACCTAAAAATATTATCAATGACCAAACAGTATTTGCTTTAAATATCTGTTGGATATTCCAAACAATAAAAATACGATTGTCTGTCTTTCAAAAAAACATTGAACAAGTTCGATATTTCAGTTGCAAATACATTTATTCGTTGGTTGAACCCATTTGTCAGGAGCTGTGCATTTCCAAAAGAAATCAATGAAATTACGTTGCATTTTTCAGTAAAAATCTGTAAGAAAGTGCCCATTTCTAAGGGAGAAAAAAAATTCGTTTGATCCACCCATTCATTTCAATATTCATGCGTCTCTTTGACAGAGATCTTAATTTTCTTTCGGGAAAATGTCATCAAAAAATCTTTGTAATTAACCGATTACGGCTTTGATTAATCAACAGATAAAATGTGCATTAGTAAAAAGACTATAATTTCTGACATCGGACGAAACCCATGGAGGGAATTCCGTTGAATTAATTATTTTGGGTATTTTCACTAAAGTTGTGCTTGAAAGGTATTTTTCCAAGAGTAGCAACCGAAAATAATGTTCAACCGCGCGGAATCTGCCCGGGAAACAGATTGAGAAAAATAGGTCGAAAATACAATACGGTCGAAAATAGGATACGAGACGATACGTACACCGTGCGTACCCATGCATTTCTTTCAGGATTGGCAAAATACTTTCTAATTATGTAATTATCAAATTAAACAAATTCAGTAATTTTAGGGGGAAGGGTCTGTGATATTTTTCGGAGAGCTAACGTTAATGTTGAATTGTTCTGCGAAAAACTTTTGACACTATGACAAGTCTATCAAGTTTCCATATTGCCAGGGCAGAGGAATGTCGGAATAACATACCTAGCGGGCTCCAATATTATGACCCACATTAAGGATCGATAAAACTATACGTTCAAATCCTCAAAGCTGGAATCGCACGTCATTTTCCAAACAATGTCTTTCCTTCTTCTTGAAATATGAAAAAGTTTACAGACGACAGTTTTTACATGCATTTTCGCGCGAAATGTCATTCGGAACTCCTTGATATTTATGCATTTCGATTAACCTAATAATGGAGCGGATTTTGGAACGTGGGTGGCGTTTTCTTTTCTTTATAGGCTAGCACTCTTCCGGGAGCTGGATGTATCATTTTACACGACTTCTACAAATATTTTACTGCAAATTACTAACACAGTATGTATCAATAACGTTTATACACAATAAATAGCATTCTCTTTAAAAAGAATCTATGAATAGTAAAGTCAAAGATAATTAGGAAGTTCCAATTTTTATCTGTAAGAAACTTTTTATTCACCATATTTTAAACTTTATCATTTCATTATTACAATAAATATTCCTACAGTGAAATTTTTTAACAAAAATTATACAATCATTTCATATCACATTAAACACGATAACTTTTGACAGAGACTAGTATAATATTTACAGCTCTCTAATATCAATTCATATACAGCCATTTGACCAGGAAACTATGAAAATACAATCTAGACCTGTCCAAAACAATATAAACTGTTTAATACAGCAAATTACAAAATGCAGTAATGTTTTATTTGCATTTAGATAGCTCAAAGTTCTGATCTAAGACTACACTATATTTAGCAGCAACTAAACATGTTTAATATTTTGCTAACACAACACATAAAACTGCTGTGTAAATTTTCTCAAGATGCAATGTTAATACTCAATGACAAGTTATTTTATCTGTACATATAAGGAATCTTATGGGCCTACTAATTATTAGACATCTAAGTCAACATCTTAAGTTTGTTATTTTATTGTACTAACTAAGAATAACAACATGCATAACGATATATATACAGTCACATACATTTATAATGTAAAAGAAAAACACAATCACATAAATAGAATATTGTAAAAGCTAGAAAGGAATAAAGATTATGTAAAACATGAATCTTGTATTCACACACAATATATACAAGTATATCATAATACTATATACACTTTTCTCTTTTCAAGATAAGTCTAAAACACCTTTCTTTATGACACATGTAATTACATGTAGATAAATAGGTAATTGTGTAAAATCACAAAATAAATAACAACTCTGTTATAATAAACAAAGTTGGTATAAGCACACACATAATTGATATGAAGCTTTCAGTACATACAATTTAGTAACAAGTACATTTTTACATTCCTATTTTATTTTTTTTTTAACGAAAAATTGCTTCAAATTTGAAGTCATCTCTATCACAAAAAAAAAGAAAAGAAAACGAAATCAGAAACAAACACTTCTGCTAAAACAATTAGATTTACAAATGCTGTGAGTATCTGGCTACTTTCTCCATAAAGAATATTTCCAGAGCTGAAGTTCTCTAGGTTTTTAAATTTTTTTTTTTTTGAGAAACTTACAGGTCTTCCGTAAATAAAATGTAGTAATGTACATGTACCTACATGTACCGGGTACTTAATCAATATGTAAACCTACCAGGCCTGGATTGCCTTCAATACTTCAGATTTAGCACTAGCTGCTAAAATAGGCATAAAGGTTGCATTGAGTGCACTGCATACATTAACAATAGCTTTGCTAGGCTAGCACAGAATTCATAACACAAGATTGTAGCCACTATGATCTTAAGCGCACCTCAACTGAATTGAAGCATAGTACATGTATCATATATCAGTCAAATAACACTGGGAATGTTAACAATCCAAATGAAAATTAACATAATTTATTCCATTAATTCTTCAACTGATAATAAAATAATATTGCTTGATATGATGCCACCAGTCTATATGGTACGTACAGGGTGTAAATGCATGGATGATGCCGCCAGTCTATATGGTATGTACAGGGTGTAAATGCATGGATGATGCCGCCAGTCTATATGGTATGTACAGGGTGTAAATGCATGGATGATGCCGCCAGTCTATATGGTATGTACAGGGTGCTGCACGGAGGAGGCTGGTGGAAGAATTATGGGTTTTCTATCACTGGGGGCCTGCTCTGTACTTCCTCCTGGCTTCCCTTAAAGAGAAATAATGTATCCTATAGAAATGCATGTATCAATGAACAAGCAATACAAAGATATGAACAATCCAAGTTTTGGACATTTTTTCCATATTGAATTTTCCTAAAATATATAATTTCAAAATATACAAACAAGAAGGAAAAATATGCAAGACTGTTGGGAATTGAATTCTGTATTGATGATACTTCAGCAATCTACTTTCCTAAGTTCTGCATTTAGACATCTTAGAATATTATAATAGATAAACCATATTATGCTATTAAAGACTGATGAATTTTATCATATTGAAGGTCGAACACACATGCACATTCCGAAACCATGCATTACTTTTCTTTTAAGATTAGCCAAAAAAAAATAGTGAATCTGCAATACATCTGTCATACATAAATTGTTTGACAACTTTCCTTTAATAAATGTAAGCCTATTGGAATTCCGTCAGCATTTTTTAAGTTTTATAACCCTATGCTAATTATTGTTGAATATTAGTTTACATGTTTACAAAATGCATGTATAATGTGCAAAATAAATTGATGCATTTTTGTCTAAGTAAAGAATAGCTATGTTGATTTTTTTTTCAAATTAGAACATCTACACTTTAAGATAACGTTTCCATAAATTACATCTAAGAACTGCAAATGAATTTTCTACATGTAGTATCTCAAAAGCATGTTTATGTAACCATGATAATTGTTTTTAGAATACATCACTGAATGACCACTGGCATTTCAAAGAGCTTTTAATTACTTTTTTTAAAAGTGAAAGTGACTGAGTAAAATAGAAAAACATGTTTCCACTGAAAGGCTGACAAATATAAACCAAACACTTTTTAAAATTATCAAGCAAATTAGCATTATATGGGAAGGTCTAGTAAATAAGATACAGAGGTTAGAAGGATATCAAGCACCAAGATCCCAAATCCATATAAAAAAAATTTATTGACCCATGATAAAATTTGAGTGACTTAGCATTTATACTAAGGTCTATAAGTACCAACTGGAAAAAATGGATCCAAGCCAATAAGACAGTCCTGTAGCATTCTGATTAATAAATTTTTCTACAAGTTCCAATCCAATCCCAGAACATGCAGATTTACTTACTTGTGGTGTAACAAACTGAATGGGTGCAGAGGGCATTATATCTGGGTGCAACAAGAGCGGAACAGGGGGGTCATGATTAATGTGGCTTTTATGGACTGAGACATGAGGGTGGTGCCCCACGGAGGAGCAGTAGGGCTGACTGAGATAGTGAGACAGGGCCATGTGAGGCTGGGGGGAGGGGGATTCACCCTCTTCAGATGACCCTCGGTAGTAATCTGAAACACGACCAGTTTATACTTTCATTAATGCTTAATTTAATTCTCACTGTGGTACATGTTGCCGTGGTATCTCTGATTAGATTACAAATTATTTCCAATTTAATAAAAAGAGCAGAAAGTAATACATTAATTTGTTTTATGTAGATTAGTATAATGCATGTATTTGAAGAAAGTCTCAAAGTTAGTTCCTGTTATTTTTAAAACTTTATTACCATGACTGTGCTCCTTGACAACAGTGATGCCCTCTAGTGGAACCTCGGGTGGGATTTGAGGGGGAGATGACTCCGCTGTTGACTGCTGCTCATGCAGTGATTGAGCTACTGGTGCAGTTGTACTTGGAGCAGGCTGAGAACTGATCACTGGGGTCTCCTCTAGAATAACAACCAAGAACACATTACACGATTAATTACTTGTAGAAATATCCACACTTTCTTTTCAGCATTAAAAAAAATACATATTACGCCATGCAAAGTAAATTCCTTGGTTCTCAGGCCTTTTTTCAAGAAATAAGATGAGGGAGGAAGGCATTTTTTTTTATTGCCCCAAAACATGGTGAGGCAGCTTTTTACATTGTACAAAACCTAAAAAATGATGAGGGAGGTGATTTGTTGTTATTTTATTGATTTAGCAATAGAAAGGGTCAATGACACCTATCAGGCCGAAATAATTCTTTTGAATTTCTTGATTTTGTATTTCTACATTTTTTTGGCAAGAATCATATTGGCAACATTTTTTGATATATGTACATATAGATCTACATAAATATTTTCTAACCTTTTTGAAAATGTGTGCAATTTCATCACCCATTTTATAAACTGACATAAATATACATGTAAATACATATATAAATTGTAAAGTATAAATTAAATCAAATTTTATTTTGGGTTTAAAGAGATCTTTTTATTTATTGCTATACAAAAAAGTACGTAAGGGTTGCCCGCACCCCTGTGTCTCGCCTGCTGTCGCTGTGGTTAGTAAGAAATGTGTCCATCACCAACAGCATTTATTGACATTTCAGGTATAGCCTCAAAAATACAAATAAAAACATTCCAACAGCTGACTCCTGTTATAACCCATTTCAAATATCTTCATTTATATATATATACATATAAGTTTTAAATTCACAAATTATGGTTTTTTTATTGTAAAAATTACAATGTTAACCTTGTCCACTCTTTTGAAATCAAATCCACTGATATGTATCAGTAGATTCACTGAAAATGTAGTGTGCAGATTACCTAAAATGGTACTGATATTGTTGGTTACCCATGATGTGTAGCTGACAAATTATCATGCCACTATAAATAGTTGCTGAGAATGGACCTCCAAATAAATTTATGCAAAGTCACTAGTGGATGATATTGTTAAAATGAAAATTCTGGTCCCATCTTTGTGGTTACCCATGATTATCCACTGACATATTTACATGACACTATAAGTTATCAGTTGCTGACAGTTGGCCTACCATAAATTTATGCAAAGTCATCTAAAGGTGTTACTTCAATGATGATAATTCTGGTATGCATTCTTTTGGTGATCAGATATATCCACTGACAAAATATCACCTGACTATTATTTTGTTATAGTTGCTGAAATATGAACCTCCATTATCAATTTAACCAAAGTCATTCTGAGTAAAATGTTCTCAAAATGAGCTTTCTGGTACATGTTGTTGGTTACTTATAACCTGTACAACACAGAGAATGCCATTTAAGTTATAGATGCTACATATGGACCTCCACCAAAAATTTACCAAAGTCACTATTCAGAAAAATGTATTTTTCAAGATGACTATAAATTAAATTTTCACAATTCTGTGGTTACCCATGATGTATCCACTGACTAATTATCATATCCCTATAACTTATAGTTGCTGGAATATAGGTCTTCACCATAAATTATCATGAAAAAACAGCGTCCAACTTAAGGAAAAAATGCCTGAAAAATTTGAATTTTTTTTTTCAAAATCATAACTTGGGATATAAATTTTTATCCATGTAATATTGTGTCCAAATTTTTGAAGACTGAATAAAATTTGAGAAAGTTATTGCAATTTATAAAATTTTTTGGGTTAACCAAAAGTTTTTAAAATGTGACGACGACGGAATCTATATTCGCTATGTCCGCTTCTGAAACCATAACTGACAAAAATCATGTTAGTAGGAATTAATTACTGCTGATTTTGTTGTTAGTTTTGTCATTTTTTTAAGATTGAAAATCTTCCAAAATTGTTAACAAAAATTAGACATCAGCACTTGATCTCCCTAAAGCCTTGAACAGTATTTCAACCAATGAAATAATTGAAAATTTTCTCATCATCATTTTCTACCAATCAATATAGAGGAAGTGCATAGTCCGAGTGTGTGCATTAAAAACTTCAACAGCTGGATTCCCATAAAGAGGCAAAACCTCAAAAATGATGAGGGAGGTGATTTGTTGTTATTTTACTGATTTAGCAATAAAAAGGGTCAATAAGGCACCCTTGGAAGAGATGAGGGAGGGCTTGAGAACCAAGAAATTAATTTTCTTCAGCAAGAATCATATTAACAACATTTTTTGATATATGTACATGTAGATCTACATAAATATTTTCTAATCTTTTTGAAAATGTGTTCAATTTCATCACCCATTTTATAAACTGACATTAATATACATGTAAATACATATATAAATTGACAAGTATAAATGACATAAACCTGAATTTTTGGGTTTGAAATCACAAATGAAAGAAAATATAATTAAATGTGTGTTTCCAGAGTTGTGAGGCAAATTATTTGTAGTTACCATCTGACGTGTGGAATTGTTGCAATCCATCACCAACAGCATGTTCTTTAGGGACTCTGGTATAGCCTCAGACTGTCAAATAAAAACATTCCATTACTCCTGACTCCTGTTATAACCCATTTCACATATCTGTCACTGAAAAACTCCAAATTTTCAGTTTTAAACAGATTTATTTTTTACTTAAAAATTACAATGTTGTTCCACTCTGGTAGACTATCACACACTGACTTACCAGTAGATCACTGTTGTCAGTGTGCATGTATTTGTCCATAAAATCTGAATTGAGCCAAAAATTCAGTGACAGAAGGCTTTAAATGCTGAAGGAATACCTGAAATAAATCAATCAGATGTGTTAATGGATGATATTGATAAAATGAAAATCTTCCCATCTTTCCAGTTAGCTGCTTGATAAGAGTGGATATCTACATGTCATCTTTTTATTTCAGTTGCCGAAGTTGGCATAGGTATGCTGTATGATCATCTAAAGGTCGATTACTTAATGATAGATAATCGGCTAATGCATTCTTTTTGTGGTCAGTTGTATATATTTAAACTGAATGTTACCTGATTATTTTGTTTACCTTGCAGAGTAATGTGGAGGCTCTCATCCTGGTCTCCTCCATACCAGAGGGGTCCTGAGTATTGATGTTCTCTAGGAGCTTTGTCAGCAGGGGAAACAAGACCTAGTACAACACAAGGAATGTGTAATCAGAAGTTTTTATTAACATGTTTTCTATTACATGATAATTTTCTGATACTATAAATTAAATTTTCACAATTCCTTGGTTAGGTAATCTTACCTTGTTAAAACAGGCCTCCCATTCGGCTGCTGACAGAGTCTGAAGGTCGTGAACTAACAGTGCCCTCTGTAGGTAGGTCAATGCCTGACTCCTGACCTGTCTCCTAGTATCACAGCATAACCTGGCAATTCCTACAAAGACATTCCATGTATATTATGTACAATTTTTGGTTGATGTTTTAAAAAAGAATCCAGTGTTCAATTGATACAAATTTTGGATAAAGTTTTTAAAATGTGTATGCATGTGATGTATATTGATTGGCCCTCTGAAACCAAAACTGACATACATATGTGTACAATTTTATTGTATTTTCTATGTTTAGGGAAGAAAAAGGGCTCACCTTGTAACAAAGGACACCAGCACTTGACCCATAAAGCACTATGACAAGCATCAATGGCTTCCCTCTCTTCATTGTTCTCCTCCTCTGCCCACGACGTAAATATAGTGGCAGCTCGCGTATGGAGTGTGTGCATTAAATCCAACAGCTGGATTGATAAAGAGGCTAAACTTCCCCCTGTTCCTTCCTCCTCCCCCTCATCATCTGAAGGGAAAATATTCTGGATATGACTTGGTGAGGAAGACGACTTCTTCATCTTGCCAGTATCTTTCTTTGACTTTTTATGTACACGTTTGCTTTGTGGTTTTTGTTGTCCTTGAAAAACAGGCATCTTTCTTCTACCTGGAATATCAAAATGGGATTTCCAGACATGAAGCAGAGTTAATAATACATTAAGAAAAGAGTTTAAATCACAAAAAAAAATAATATAATTGAATGGTTTTTAGCGGCAGGCAAATTATTTGTGAGTTACTCTAAAGACTTGATGCAATCCTAGTTAATTTCATGCTAGTCAATTTTTTCAGACCTTATCTGGAAAAGTAAGTTACAGATTTTTTATTTATTAATGATTTGTGTGTTCAGGTAGCTATCACACACATGTACTTGTTTAAACAGTTAGGTGGGTATTAAATCAACTTAAAGTACATGAGAGCAAAAATTTGAAGAAGGCTTTAAATTTCCCTTTGCCTGTATCTACTTGTGTAGATCTGATTTGTAAACCTAAAATTCAAATAAATCACATATCAAGTAACAATTACTACCATATATGTTTGTTTAAATGCATTTCAAAGGATCAGTATTATCATGTAAACCACATACCCCCATTAACGCTGGCCTCCACAAAAGCCCGGATAGAGTGGACACAGCTCTCAAAGTTGAGGGGCGTGACGTGGGCGGCGTCTCGGACCAGGAACGCCAGGGTCTCGGAGGACTTCAGTAGGGCCTTACTGTCACAGTAATGTAGGTCCTCATTCAGCTCAATACTGTACTGGTTAGGAATCACTCTAGGAATGGTTACTGAAGCATGGTCCTCCCCCACTGGCTGCTGGGAATCCTTGTTTACCTGTCATAGAGGATTTAAAGTTCATGTTACACAAATATATCAGAGAGTTCAAAAGTGACTTTCAATTTCTTGCTAAGTAAAACTGAAACAAAGAACATAACGCCTAAGATCCTTTATGGTGATTTTGCTTCAAACAATTACCGTATAATCTTAGTGTCATCACCCCGGGCGCTCATCCATGAAAATTTGAAGTAAGGGCTTATTATTTTGGTGTTCTCTTTATGATATTTAATGTCATAATTTAACTTCAAAAAATCAAAATATACTTGAAAATAAAAGTAAATACAAGAAACAACTAAGATAATGTCTAACTTTACATAAAGTAAAGATAATCCACCAAAATTATGCTAAATTGTTCATTTTCCACTGAGAAATTGCATGATAGACAAATTTCATTTTCACTTTCTTCATTTTGTTTTGGTACGATTCAGTTGATCCGAATCACTTCTGGGGGTCCATCCCTACAATGCATCAGACCATGGGAAGTTTGGTCCGGTAGGGCGGTTATAGTTTATACGGTATTGAATTACTGCATGTGTATTTTAAAAAGTGGGCTTCATATTTTAGTGGCTTTGGCCCAAATACTCTAATTAATGAATACCACTAAGAAATCATTAATAAATACACTATACAGCACAGTCATGAGTAGCGCTAATTCATGATTATGCCTACAAAGGTGTAGGGTGGTTTCGCTCCGATAACGTGTTCGCGCCGAGTGTGATCGCGCCGAGTGGTTTCGCCCCGTTTATCTACAGGTGAGATATGGGTAGTATACAGAATCAATTAGAGTGGCTTCCCCCCGATTACCTGTGATTATAACTCAGGTAGCTTGTGATTAATTAACCCTAAGCGTTAATGTCGTGTTATGTTGGATAATTATCCCATTTTACTTTTTAATACTGAATACTTATATAGTGAGGCCATTTTTAGCCAAATTATGATCGACTATTTGAACAAATTTGATCGTCTAATATTTGGAATAATTTAGGACTGGATGTTAAAATATTTATATTCATTTCACAAATCTCGTTGATCTTTCAATGAAGGTTGTTATTACTCTACAGTTTTTCCGCAATGAAGACAGCTGGCCAGGGCACATTTTTTAAGGTAGAATGGATTTTTTTGGAAGTACATGTAAAAAGCGCACGCACGACTGGTCTCTCATCATTATTTTTAATTAATCTGCTCATCTTTACTGATCAAACGATAATCAAAAGACTATCTGATAAGAGGTATCTTCAGTTATACAGTAGAAACCAATAGGGGCGAATCCACTCGGCGCGAACAAGTGAACGGAGCGAAACCACTCGGCACGAACACGTAATCGGAGCGAAACCACCTGCATTCCCTACAAATCCATACCCAGCGATTGCAACTAATTTTGAATACACCAATTTATGTACACTTACAGTCGTCACTGGAAAATGAACGTTCTTGAATGATTAATGTAACAGAATCTTACCAGTAGCCAGCTTCCGTTGTCAGGTACAGGTCTAATCTCTATAGGGGAGGGGCTCCTGTGGGCCGCTGCCTGTCTGACATAGCTGATCTCACTGTCTGAGGTGTACCCCCGGTCACTCAAGTTGTCATTTGTAGAGGCGCTGGGTAACTCACTATCACTCTGGGCACCTATAAGTACATGTATCATTGAAAACCTATCATGTAGAAAATTATTCAAATGTACATTTTGCACTTTGTGCTCAAATAAAACGAAAGGTAACAAATCCTCAGTATTCATCAAATAAATTTCCATAAGAGATCCAATTTATAATCAAAATACACACTATTTCAGCACTCTTTACAGACAGAAAATTTAACAGATATATTCTTATAACCTGATTTTATATAGGAACATGGTCATTTAAGACAGTAAGAGTTATCTCTCTTATCAGCAGGACAAAGAACCATAAGATTTCACGTACCTGCATCACTGATGGCCTCTGACATCTCGATGCCAGGACAGACATGTAGAAGAGGGGGTGGGTTAGCGCCTGCCCCCACCACCTCCAGAAGAGTAAACAGGGTGAACCAGTCCTGGCCCGTGTGGATGTTAGCCGCGTTTGTCCTCAGCAGTTCATGTAGGGCGTAAGATATCTGTCTCGTACAGGAATGGATGACTGCGGGCTTCATCATTAACAAGATTCGGAGCGATGTAAGGACTTGTGGCGCCACCTCTTCTCTGCGTAATAATCGGATAGCGAGGCGTAATAAGCCTACTACGGCTCTTTCCACTAGAAATGTGCACTCATTAGAATTCACTATCAGACTGTATAAGTGGTCTCTTACATTCTGCCATATAGGAACTACTCTATCTCTGAAACAGATAAAACAGGAACTTTAGTTACTCAAAAGCAATAATAAAGATGAAGATTAATTTCTAAATCTATGAATACAGGAACAACTTTATCTCTGAAATAAATAACAAACCTTGAGCCTCACTTTTGCTAATACAATCCTAAACATGAAAGTTTACTAAAATACTACACTGAGTTCTATGCATATTAATAATTAGGAATATTTACGATATATCTTTAAAACTCACAAAAATGAAGAAAATTTACATGATGAAAATCTATGCCTTACCTGTTTTGAAGAATTACTTTGATTAAAAGTTCAAGGAAAAATACAGCTGCATCTTCATCAAATTGTAATTCTGAGTTATGAACCTCAGGACCCTGGGATAATTAAGGGCATTATTAAAATAACCTTTTAAATTTCACGGTGTTTGAAATCCTAATGAAGAACTTGGATAATCATAATCAATATATAAAGTTCCCATAATGCCAACGAATTTCAGTACTAATTCTATAGCCTGGGCCTGAAATGGCAATCATTGAAATAACTTAATAATTACGATGCATTAAAATCTTTTATACTTTTAAATTTCATATATCACATGTAAATTTTACATTAATCTTTGAAGAATGGTAGCATTCAGATATATAGATGTATACATACATATATATACATGTCATTGAATATGTGCTCAAGTTCACAGACTACAAAACTATCAAACAGCAGAAACCTTTCTCAGAAATATCTTCAGATTCTGAGTTTATACACTGTAAAATCTATATCAATGAATGCAGTCCCAGTTGACCTACTTTGATGAGTTCCTGTAGGGAGTCCTCCCTGAGGAATTTACTGTCCAGAATCAGCTGTTCTAGGTGGCAGTCTCTGATACAGCTCTGGGCCTGTTTGGAGGCTTCCTGCTCCTCGGGGGTGGGGCCTTTGTTCGTGGTCGGCTCAGAGCTGGTGAAGTACGAGTAAAAACTGCTCAGGACCCCCTCGGACCTGGAATCATTTAAGAAAAGGTCAAACTCCAAACAAACCAATGTAGTAAAACTATGTCATCTGAAATATTCTAGGAATATGCTTCAGTAAAAGATGATTTTGATACATTAGTTATTTTTTTACACATATGTGAAGTATATGTACCAGTATAATGCCTTTTAGAAAAGCTGATACATGAATTTCAGAAGCAATTTTTGTAAAACTGGATATCCTACCTCTGGGCAGCCATGGTCTCTTCTCTCACTATACAAATTTTTCCTGAACTATCTATGAAATCCTCAACCTGTAGAATAAGAAGTAAAAGAATTCAAGTTCATGCAAACACATGCTTAAAAAATCCTAAAATTATTTCATTTTATGATTTACAGAGCAAAGGTCATTCTGAAACATTTGTTCAAGAGTGTATTCCATCTTACACAGACATACAAGCAAAAAATTTATAGGATTTTCCAACATCTTACCTCAGTCAACCCTTTTGGTAATAATTTGGCACGATAGAGTTGTAACATACAGTCTAATATATTCTTCCATCCTTCTCTTAAAATATCACCATGCCGATGAGCCAACCCAAACACAGTGCGAGCGGCTAACTGAGCTTTAGAGTTGCTCCCAAACATCACAGGTATGTGTTCCGGACTCTGCGTATATTCATAATAGAGGTCAAGTACAGGTCAAGGCCATGACACAAATATGTCAACCATAAATCATAATAGAGCCACAGATTAACAAGCTTTTTATTTTCTGATACATACCTCCACAGAACTCAGTAGGGTGGTGAATTTACAAAGCGATATGACTAGATTATCAAAAACATCACTCATTCCATAGTGAGCTGATATCATAGCACATTTCCTGGAAATGAAGAAGAGTTTTCGATGAGAAAAAAATGTACAATTGCTCATTTTCTATTCCTAAATCTAAAACAATTTGACAACTTAAGTTCTAACCTAAATCCTGCTATTGCTTTCTGTATTATAGAATCATCTGAGCTTTTGTCAAACACAAATGACAGAGCCGCAACCGTGGGGCCCCATATAAGGGTGAACAAGTCATGATCAAATGACCCAGAGGGAACGTGTAGGAAAAGTCCATCCTTTGTGGTGCCTCTTCTCAATAAAACCTACAAAACGTGTGTGTATTTAAAGGTGCTTAAGAAGCCGATTTTATTGAATTGATTTTCCAACACTGTAAAATAAAGTACATGTACTAGCTGATAAGATGTTAAATCGCCCTGACTTCTATTTCACCTTAAAATTGACCCTAAATTTCCATCAAACTTACCTTCCAGAGATAGTTTTCTCTGACTAAACCTGTGTGTTCTGCTGGCATCACAATCTCATCATTCCTAAAATAGCAAACAGAGTCCATTAAAAAGTTACCTTGACGTTCACTTTGTGTGATTATAATTCTACCAAAAATGACACAATGAAAAATTTAATACAAATGCTTTTTTTGAAACAAATTCAGAGCCAAACATACACAGTATGTATTTTAATTACTGGTATATTCCATTTATAACTTAAAGGCATTAGAAAGTTCTACATTATACACTGCTTTACAAAGACAGAGATTTACAGTATATTTTTCATTTACGTCAACACAAATTAATGTACATACCGTATAAGATTTTTACGAGGATAATTTTGGCATTATTTCATTTAAATATCGCTAAAAATAAATTGTGTTTTATTTGTAATATCTTCTTTAATGTGCATTTGAAAATAGCTAAAATAACATCTCGCTAAAAATAAATTACCAGTTTTTAAGGACAAATCGCTAAATTTGCGTCTCGCAAAAATTTCCACTTATACGGTATATCTCTGTATTTACTTTATTGCAACATAAATCTCCTCTAGCATATCCTGGTCAAAGTCTGCTCCCCCATTACACTTCTTCAAATTCTTCTTAAATTCCTGTAAACATTTACAACAAACAAAGCTTTTATATTATAAATTGTTATTCCAAGACAACAAATGACTATGTGACACCAAAATATGAAAAGGTAAAAGTTGCTTAAGGAAGGACCACACTTTGCATTGTGTTGCTCAAATCTTATTTAAAATTCTAATGAAGATCAAAATTATTTCTGTAACTAATGGGTGCTTTGCCCTTGTTGACTCACTGATTTGAATCTTAGATACATATGAAATCTGATTGCCAATACATGTAGTGTACCTGTATTACTAAAACTGCTTTATACTTAAATGTAACTTTATTTCAATAGCTAAAATAATTTGTGTATCAGGCATTTTCCCCGAACAATTACCCCATAACAAAAAATGGCCATATCATATCAAGTTATGATGTAAAATGCATAACCATTATTTTTGAAAGCAAAAAACAACAAATTCTCTTGTAAATACAGGATAAGGACTCACAGCACTAGTCATGGGGATGTTCTGTTTCTTGGCATTGTGGTTGTGTTGATCTACGTTGAGCATAATGATGGCGTAGGTCAAGGTGAAAGCTGCATCAACATTGGTGAATGGCTCACCATTACTCTTCTGCAGGAAAGAAACAACAAACAATAATCAGACAATATCCTGATCATACTGGGTTCATATATACTGTGTATTGAAACATTTACCCAACACTTCCATATATCTTGTGTCTAAAATGTACAAAAAATGTTTTAAAAAAAAATCTGATGAGCATTTATAAACAAAATTACTGTGCCTCTATTACCCACATGTACAGTTAAGAATCAATGATAAAGCTCCCTCCATGACTTACATGCCAGTGGTCAGAGAAGTGTTCTATCAGGTAGGATATAACGGGGGCCTCTCCAGGCAGTCTGAAGGCCTCTAGGTACTGCCTCAAGGCCTCGTCAACTCGAAGGTCCTCAAAGTTAAAAGATCTGGCAAGAAAGATTTAATTTATAAGAATGCTAGAGGCATAATTTCATTCCTGTTACCCCTTTTTCAGGGAAAAAAAACTAGGGGATTCATTTCTTAAACTGAACTGCCATTTCCTATGTGAGGTACTTCATGCATTTTAAACAGTTCTTTTTAAAAAGTTCACCGCCAGGATATTCTATATTAAAACCTTACTATTGTCTATGGCAATAAAACAGAAGACTAATACACTTACTTGACAAATGCCTCTAGGACTTTGCTGTTGGTTTTCTTGGCCACATACTCTCCTATCATGGCTTTGTCCAGTCGGGGGTTCTCCTTCAGAAACGTAACCACCTCCCCCGGGTCCAGGGGATCAGACAAGAGACCCTGCTCCTGAAGGTAGGCTATTCCCTTGGAGGGCTTGGTGTTAAACTGCTCCGTGCCAGTATAGTACAGCTGTGAAGGAAAAGATTTTTTTTATAATTCTCTTGATAAGTTTTTCCCTTGAAAATTGTTGTGCATATATACAAGTACATGTAAGCATATCATTCATTCTCTGTCTTTAATTAGGATTTCTAAATGTAAATAACACAGGATTTTATTATAAGTAATGTACTTGATTGGAGTACCTTTTTCTTGTGTTTGATGGTGGCTATGTCCTCTGCTGTGGGAATTGTGGACGACACTTTCATTCTGTTTTGTCTAAAGGATGGAGACCTCTTGGCTGTGTCTTTCTGTTTTGCCTCTTCCTTAGAACTCTCTGTAAAATGAAAATATTACTGTATATATTCTACTTCTAGATTTTATCAAAAACATGTACTGTTTGCTAAACAATACATTAAGCTCATTATAGTGAACTGTGGACTTTTGTGAGAGTTTTTTTTAATTACCTTTCACAATACATTATGAATTCAGAAAACCATCTATTTTCATGTATGCTTTAAAAGTAAAATAAACCTGGTACCAGGATTGTGACAGAATCAAAACAGGTATTTTTCAATTATGTAATTTTGAATTACCCTGAGTCTGTTCCTGACTGAGGAGTTTCTGAGCCATTACGTAGCCATTGATGGGTGGACTCGGTACTGAGGACTTACCCTGAGTTTGTTCCTGACTGAGGAGTTTCTGAGCCATTACGTAGCCCGTGGTGAGTAGACTCGGTACTGAGGACTTACCCTGAGTTTGTTCCTGACTGAGGAGTTTCTGAGCCATTACGTAGCCTGTGCTTGGTGGACTTGGTACTGAGGACTCCAATGCTCCATTCTCAGTCACGAGCTGGGATGACTGGGCAGTCTGCCTTCCTAAATCAAAACAAAAAAAGATCTACCTCACATCTGTGTCTTAACCATAACAGCAATACAAAGATAAACATGAAGATAAATTCTGTAATATTCAAATACAAAGGAGCTCTTAAATGAAGATGAACAAAACACTCATATGAGTTACCATTTTCTCCCTCATAGGTTATTTGTTTTTGTAAATAACAGTTATACATGAAACCTTTTACAAAATGTAGCCTCTGTATTATAGTTAGATTTTTTCTCCTAGTGTGACCTCACTTTTTCCTAAAGTTGTTCTGTGCTTTAACTAAATTCATATCAAATGATGATGCTTCATTAGTAAAATAGCTAAATTAAGAACATCAACATATGAACCTTCTACCCATACTTAAGGGGTACTGTTTTGAAAAATTCTTTTTCAAGACAACAGACTAAAATATCCCCATAAAATACACCCTTCAGCTTATACGACAATCTTGCTGTGAAGTGAATCAGTCTTACCCTCAGCTCCCTGTTTGTTGATGCTGAGTATTCGACTGTGACAGTGCTGCTCAATGCTGTCCACTACCGTCAACAGAGCATCAAGTGACAGAAGGTGTGTAGAAAACAGGCCCTGGACAGGAAAGGCATTCTGTTACCAAAAAATGTACATTATGACATAAAACTAATAAATATACCATCTGAGCTGAAAAACAATAGGGGTCATTGGCCATTGTTTAAAGCTTTTAAGTGTAATATTTATATATAGCAACCAAATAATCTGAAGAAATTGGTTGGGAACCATTTGAAGTCTGAGGAACTAAAAAGGTGTTCCTGGCAAACAGGTTCAAAACAATTCTTCAAAATAGAGTATACTAGCTATAAAAGTATCTACTGTTGCTTCATATAAACAATTTACTTTTACTAGTGAATTCTTTGCTGAACATTTCAAAAAACAATATTTTACTCATCAAGTAAAAAAGAACGAAACAGATCAAATCGAATATGACTTCTCAGAGCTTACCTAAAATTGTTTTGCACAAACACACATTAATTACCTTTGATAAGAGCTTCGTAAGATCTTCAAACAAGTTGGAGCAGTAAAGATCACAGTCGTAGTTGAGGTACAGTTCTGTAACAAGCCCAGGAATTCTCCACAGCTGGACGATCGACTCGAGGGCGATCTCACGAATCTCGTACGAGATCCGGGGAGACTCAGAGACTATGATGTCTGTCAGTTTGGTCAAATAAAACTAAAATAAGAGCTATTTTGTTAGTTTAACATACATTGTAGATGTACATTAAAATACTGTAAGAATATTTCATAGAGCATATTCAAGTGCTCTCGGCATAGTCATATCTGTATTCTGAATAATATATACGAGGGTTGATCCAAAAGTTCGTGGAATTTCTTTCTAAAATTTTATCGTGATTTGATGAAATCAATCAACAGGCATATTCATAATATAGAGTCATAATGTAACAATAATGGAAAATTTCACCACTTTCCAATTACCAATAAGGTCACAAGAGCTTTCTGAAAATGGATAGTTGGGAAACCCGGGGGAGACTTCTACGTAACGTCAAGTTAGATATGTCACGTCACGTTCTAGAAGCATTTCGCCCAAATGTCCAAATATAACACGTAATTCTACAAAATGCTGCCTTTTTCTCCATTTTTTTTCTCAAGAAAAGCCTGGGTATCCTCTCGCACCAACTTATCTTCATTTTTTACTCATATTTCAAAATGCTACCCATCTTTCCATATGATGTTCCAATTTCAGTAGCAATGTCAAGAACAGTACGGCAGCCGACAACGTACATTAACGCTTTTAATTTGTCTAGGGGGATAAGTACTTAAACAAAGCCTCTACAAAGCGACCACACCTTTTATCAACGTCCATGGAAGTTCTGTTTTTCTTAAATTTCTTATGCCACTGGAAAACCAGCAACTAAATGATTTTTTCCCAAGCCTATATCAATAATATACACGTTTAAGATAGAGTGATCCCGGGATTTTCACAAAACATGTGACTTGACCGAAATTTGACGTTATCTAACAACTTAAAGATGAACAAGAAATCATCAACTTATAAACTAAATATCCAGTAAAATCAGTAAACTCTCACACAGAGGTTTATAAAAGATCAAGCAATCATAAGAATGACATAATTTTCATTTTATATACCACATAGGGCGTTTTAATTCTTATTTCACGTATTAAGAATTAAAATGATAATAAACGCGTTAATGTCTCCCCCACATTTCCAAACAACCGTTTCTATGGCAACTGCCATAAAGTTACTATCCAAGATATTTAAAATGTTTTTTATTTTAAAATATGCATCAAGTGTCTATAATTTCATTTGTAATTTTCAACCAATTCCAATGAAAAATAAATAAATATGAAGAAATTCCACGAACTTTTGGATCAACCCTCGTATGTAGTTTTCTGAATTTTATTCAACTTAATTTTTCTTAACTTTTATCATATACCCATTACATGTACTGTAATTATTCATCAAAAACATCTACGCATTTCAATACTTCTGAGGAATATCAACTAAAGTATGCATGACCTAAATTTAATGTTCAACTTTGTATAAGTGCTTGTGATATTTATTATAACTACATGTATATACAGTACCTCTAGCTGTAGCTTCAGATGACTTCTGATGGACTCAAACAGAAGAAAACAAACTCGAAGAGAGGCCGAGAACAAAGACAGTCTCTCTGACTGCAGCAGCTGGAAAAGTGAGAAATAACTCTCAACAAAAAATGTGTATAGCAAGAACAACAAATTAGTTACTAGCTTAGATGTGAGAAGTGACTGCAAAAAACAAATCATCAAATTCTTTACTTCCAAACTGGCAGACAGGTGTTATACTTTAATCATTGTCAAGAAAAACTTGACTCCTTGATGACATACCAGGAATAGGTGCCGACACATTTCGTCTTTGACCAGGTAAAGGAGGGAATTGTAATGGCCGATATGATCTGCCCCCGACTCTAGAGCTACAGACAGGAGACTGAGTCCCATGTGTATCATCACGTCCGTGTTGTGACGGTCCAGCGGATTGGTTAACGAGATCAGGAAGCGGAACAACTCACGCACACATGGTAAACCGTAGGGTAGGAGAGGACCAGAACCTAAAAATAAACATGAGCAATCAAACACCAATATTATACACAGGATATCTACACATCAGTGTAAATTTTCTAATCCTTTTTACATTCAATAAGCACAATTTCAAATTTAATCAGAGTGAATTAGGAGACTTTTCCAATTTAAATAATCTCTGCTTTCCAATGAGTGAACTTTAATAGGATGTTTGCAGAGAAACTTTTTGAAGGCAAATAAAACATGAAATTTCTGCTTTAAACCAAAGATTGAAATTGACTGTGCATAGAATGAGTATCTACTTGTATATCTTCCATTACCCACACAACTCTTATCTGCTATACAAACAGCCAGTAAGAGTTACCTTCCTTGTGGTGGTGGTGAGGGGTGAACCTGACCCCCTGGGGGTTGACAATCTCGTCCACCACCGTTGATTCCGAGTTCTCGGCAGTACTGTGTACAGACTCGGTGTCTTCTGAGTGTAAGCTGACCCTGTCCATATCTCCACTGGAACCCAGCATATCAGGGCTCTTCTGCTAGAGAAAATAATTAATTATCACTAAACTATATAGACTAATCCTGTCCATGTCTTCATTACTTTCAAAAATTTTACTGTCATGCAAAGAATTTTCTACAAAAAATATAAACATAATCAACTTTTTGATAAATGAAACACATGCAAAATTACAGTAGCAATGTCACACATGAAAACAAAACAGCAAACAAATTAAATAAAATAAAACTTACATGTGATGAGTCTTCTTCCTGAGGAACTGACAGCACAACTTGGGGTGTGGATCCAGAATTTTCTATATTTAAGTTTATATTGGATGACTCCGACTGTAAACTAAAACACTCTTTGTCTATTTCAGTGGAACTGTCATCTATTTGTTCTGAAATCTCTTCAGAAATCTGTGCAGCTTGTTTTTCTTTGTCTGTTGCCTCCTTTTAATAAGAAAAATCACACATCATTAATTACAAATATTAATACAGATTTTAAAAATCACAATTTTCGTATGAACAAATTAAGTAAAAAAAATTGTCATCAGAATGTTTGACACAGAGTTCTGTGATTTTAATCTATATGTAGTCAATGTTAATATTTTTTCCTACTTCTATTAGTTTAAGGTTAGTATCTGATAGATATTCAGTTCTGTAAAGAGCTGTATGCCACTTTGGCAATTAAAAGTTATTCATCAATGAAGAACAAAAGCTGAATATGTGCATTTTAAACTGCTGCAAAATACTATCATTCCCTATATACAAAGACTCATTCAATCAGTCCTTACCTGGAAGCGTTGACTGATGTCAATCACTCCGTCCTCCCCCGGGGTAGCTGGGGTGGTGGCCAGCCTCTCCTTGGGAGCGTGGACGTACTCTATCCCCTCGGACACCACACTGTCGGGGGAGGCTCTTGACCCCCCGATACATCCTCCCTGGAGCTGGACACGTTCTCACCCTCCTGTGTGGTGCCGGCGGTGCTGGGGGTGATGTCCTGCTGTTTGGACTTTGGACGTTTTGGCCGGGGTTTTGGTGACCGCTTTTTCCTCCCCATGCGAGACGGATCCACCCCTCCCGTTCTCATCTTCAGCTGTCAGTGTATTAGGACATTTTAAAATGTTATTTATTATACAATTGTTATCAGTTTTTTCCCCTTAATTCATAAATTTTAATAAACAGATGTCACTCACCAATTGTATCACTAAATTGAAACAGAAGTCAAATTGCTAAAATTTGTCTCTAATATTTTCATTATTTGCAATATCCAGACTTATTACTTATCCTTCATCAGTATACCAATGTTTCTCAGAATTCATAAAAACAGATGTGATTGTTTGTTAATGTAGATTACTATCTTCACATTGTGTTCTCTCTGTCCTGATTATTCTCCTAAGTTTGCCCTGAGAGGTTTGTTTACTATGCTTGTCCTTCCCAAAGTATTTTAATATAGTTAATCATGTTAATAAAACCAACTCTTTCCAAAACATACAATCTGATAATTGTATATGTCTCATTTCAATTTATGTGTAATTATATGATACAATATATTCTTGTACTTTACATCTGCAATATAGAAAGCATATATCAAATTTAAAGAAGCGCCATAATGAAATCTTAAAATTGAGACATTATGGTTAAGTCTGCGGTAAAATTAGATACCCACTATTATACTTTATTATAATTTATCTGCAAATAACTATACTCCAAAACAATATAACAGATTACATGTAAAGTAAAACCAATTCTTTGAACTAATACAAATACAAGTATAATAACTTTGTACTCGGTTTCTCATCCCCCATGTTTCAACTTGTTTTTTAAGGGGGATAACTCATATTTTAGTTGTAATTGCAGAACAGTTGTATGTCCCCAGTTTTCCAATCTGAATGTTTTAAATTGTAGTGTGTACATATGTTTTATGTAAAAAGTTGTATATAATAAAAAAGTTATTATGAATTTTCTTGTTTTTTATTAGTATATAAAATCAAGATCAATGCTTATCAGACAGCTATAATAATGAACAATAACTAGTCTATAAACTTACAAATTGAGATTTTTTAGTCATACTATATGGCAACAATTCTAGTTTAATTTTAAGTCTGACTGCAATGTAGCTCTAAATGTACTCTATCAAAAGTGTGTATATTGAATACTGGCGCTGTCGTTGTAAGATGTAATTACTGATTTATTGAGAGATTCATGATTGACTTATTATCTAAATAAAGCTGTGATACTTTATTAATCAGCCGACAATTTATAAACTGTGCCACAAAGACACGTGTAAAACCATAGAGGAAACCATGTCATCTTAAAGTCATAACACTCCATTCCTAAAGATACATCAACAAATTTTAATGAGTCTTAGTTTCATACATTGAAAGATATGATTAATGCTAAATCTGTAATTAAAATCATCTGAATTTGTGTTAAATGAAAGTTTGAAAATTCTTCATCTCAGATTGTGCAAAAATTAAATTGTCAATGCACATTCCAAATTTAGACCTCTGCAACACATTTCAGGAACATGAAACTTCTATGAAATAAATATATTTATAAAAGTTATGGTAAAACACATGTGTATTTGTTAAGTATGCAGATTAATTAAGTCCATCGGTAAAGGAGATCAATTGGTTCTTCATTTGTTTACGGGTGAATGGATTGAATCCATGCTATGCATGATTCAGTCACATATAAGGTAGATTTTTGGGTGTTTTAAGTTATTCAAAGTTCGCTGATACATTGCAACAGACTAATCCCCTGCCCCACCCACCCCTTCCATTATCAAATCACTTTATTTGAATCTTTTCTTTTGTAGAATGATATGAATTTCAGAAGTTAAACTAAAGACTGTGCTTTGTATACTGTATACACTTCATTAAAGTCTGTTGCACTTGCCCATGCGAGCTCATCCTATATAAAGTGTTTTTGAGTTTAATTTATAAATAATTTATGTTCGTTTGAACTGGTGAATTAGAACGTAAGCATCAACTTTGAGAATCTGATGGAACTAGAATTATAACAGTGAAATATTTCACCCTTAAAAGTTAACAAAAATCTCACAAATGGACATTACTGGAAAGTTCATATATTACAATGTGCATTAAGGTCAGGCAGTCATATCGTCAACAGAAGTAAAATATTATCATGGGTCTACTCTTGTTTTCTAAAAGAAATCAACCAAACTTAAAAAGAATGATATGTCAACTTACAAAACATTCTCCCAGAAATTGAGAAACCTAAGAGCACCTATCCTGAGCAAAAATTTACATATACTGTGCATGTACATAAACTGGTGTATTCAAAATTTAGCGCAATCACTGGGTATTGAGTTGTTGGCTTATTCATGAATTAGAGTTCCCACGTAATGGGAAAAATATCATATTCATAAATGATTTCTTAGCGGTATTCATGTATAACCCTATCTATGTCTGCGCCAAAGCCACTTAAATTTGAAGCCCACTTGTTTAAGTGCACATACAGTAATATTACCTTTTTCATGTTGGCAACCCATTTGGGATCCTCCTTGAACTGTGGCAGTCGTGAGAAAAGCAGCTGAACCATGTCCATCAGTGTATGCTCCGCTGACTTCCTCAGGAGTTCTATGTCACCAATTTGAACTCAAAACTTTATATCAAAGTTTTATTATACCGATATATATTGAAAAGTATGAAAAGTTATCAATTATTTCTTTGATCGGGATCATTTTGCATTAAATTCGTTTACATTGATGTCTACAAGTCGTGTAAGTTTTTGCTCATTTCAAAAATTATATTTGGTTGATAGCGACATACATTGTTATAACTAACGATTACTTTTTCTCTACCCAGTCAAAATCTAACACAGAGTTCAACTCTTTACAGCGTCCGCAAAACCTGAAAAACGATATTTTGAAACACTGAATTTAATTAACGATAAAATTTTGCCATATTCTGTATGGTAATGCAAAACAGACCATGCACAATTTAAAAACATTGTTTTCTCGAATAATTATTATTTTATGCATTTAATTCACTCAAAAAGGAATTTTTGATTAAGAGGTCATTATTTAGCAGTCATTAATTATAATGACCGGGAAATTATATCCCACGTGCAATGATTCCTAGAAAATTAAAATTACCATTTGGAGTCATTGTTGTGTTTTAAAGTTTTCTTACCAGCCAATCAAATTCGAGAATTATCAATAGAGGTATAATAATATGTGTATTCTTTAAAATATTTCCAATTTCAGAATTACATTTTTCTGTGCCTAGAGTATTTGTTTATGTAAAGTGCAACATGGACTACAGTCTAAACAATTTTTAAAAATAGGTACACCATTTCTTACATGCAAAATTTTCATCAGGACCACCTCATCAGATCCTGGATCCGTGCCTACAAATCTGGCATGTGTGACAGCATCTGCAATGTTCTCTATGGCAGCAGGAGCTGTCTCACACGCTGAATCTGAAAAAAAAGTCAAAACTTAACTTTTTGTTATTCAATAAATCAACACTGCACTGGTAGTAGTAAAGGCATAAATATTTAAAGAGGGGTCTAGCTAATTGCTGAAAGCAGTCTAAAATAGGTTTGGGAATACTATGTTTAACACATAATAAATGACAGTTTTAAATAATTACATGAACAAAATGTTTTCTTACTCCAGTCCTTTTTTTTCTTATCTTTGATTAAAATTACAATTGTTTCAGGCTTGATCTTTTAATATTGTAATATTTCAAGCAACATTAAAGTATTTTTAATTTATTTTTTCTGATAAACAGCTTTTATCCATTTTCCAAAATGTCTTATCTTCATATAATTAATTTCACAAAGTTTTAGTCAAAAAGATCAATAATTCTCAAAAGTGTTTCCAAATCTTTATTTTTCAAAACAAAAAATAATCCAAAACAAAGTATAAAAGAGATTCTAATTAAAAAGACCAATGGGAAACAAAATGACAGACAGAAAAATTCCAACGGACTGACTATGCCAAATAATAATAAATCCTAGCAGTGTATGAATAATGACAACATATTGCAAAATGCATAAAAACTTTAAGCAAATATATTGGATTTCAGCTGATTTGAACATTCTTAACATCTCGTATTCATCAATTCTACAAGGATATCTGGTCATGTAATTCTTTAAACAAACACAATACACAATTTTTTCTCTCTAATTGATAAAGATAAAGAAAGGTATTTACCCACTAAACCATAGGACAAGAATTTGTTGACTGAAGTCAGAGCTAGGCCTGTGATTGGTCCAGTTGTATCCTCAGATCTGATCACTTCCAGGAATGGACCCAGAAATGCATTAGGTTCAATCTCATCCAAATCTGCAGAAATTACAAGTAAAGCAACTATACACGAGGGGAAAATGTACAAACTTTAAAATCTGTAATTTTTTGTTCATTTCAAAGGACAAATTTTGATGACAAAAAGTAAATTATTAAATTTCCTCAGATTCACTGGGAAAAAATACAAATAAGGCCTTCAAAAGTGACTGTTTGACTGATATGTCAACTACAAGGAATACAAACCTGATATGTTATTCAAAATGTCTTTTAGTTGAGAAAAACTACTCAATAGGGGGTCATTTTCTTCATCCTAAAATAAAAAATTTAACATGAAGATTATCAGATAAAATCAAGATGCTTTTAAAATATTGATGAAAAACACTGAACTAAATCATTCTTTAATTTAAACTTATATTGATATTTCTCATTCTGATCAATAAATCTCATAAAATTTGCATCCATCTAAAATTCTATAAAACAAAAAAATTATATATTTTTTATACATAATTTTTCTTTTAGTTTATGTTAAAAAAATCAAGGCTTTTCGTTGTCTTGCTCCATCTCCCTATCATTATAGATCATGTTTAAAATACACAATTGTACTATAGCCTATGTACATGTAGTCTAACTGTGTACAAGAGTAGCATACTGTAAAATCACTTATTTTCATCAATGTTTAATTTTCATTGTTTCTGAGATATGGAGAGACCCATGAATTATGACCACCACCAAATGTAAACTTTCAAATGCATTTCTATTAAATATTTTCCAACCACAAAATCAAATCCCCACAAGCCAATATTTTTTCGACAAGCCTTGAAAATTTGACCCCTGGAAAATATGTGATTTTACACAATTGAAAATTGTTTACAGACATAAGCTGTATGGTCAATGAGGGAGTAACAGACCTGCTGTGTGTGGTTCACCCAGCGAGAGCTTCTCTTCATGGCAGTGACCACCAAACTGATCTCTCCCTGGATAATGTAGATGCCATTCTGTGGCCTACCCATCCTGAAAAAAAAGATCACATCACATGAAAAATACAGAACTACATCAACAGTGCTGGGACAATATTGAAATTTACTACAAATCTTGGTGGCACTGTTTACTGAAACCTTTTTTTACCAGCAATAACTGTGGCATGGTGTATCTTGACTTAGTTTTCATAGCAGTAAGAAACTTTTTATATCATTTAAAAATCAATTTATAATTTAGGCAAAATTACCAATTTGGGCAGTATTCTCTGAGTTTTAAACCCATACTCTGCTATCTTGATTACTTACTTGAGCTAAATAAGCAGAGGTGACAAATAAACAGGGAATACACTGTACATACTCCTGCTATGCACCCTGATCCTACCTGTTTTTTTTTTCAGGGATTCGTGCTCATGATTCAAACTGGTTATAATATTTATTGGTTAAATCACTTTAAGTTTGTTGATTTTACCTATTTCATTTTATCTGTGAATATAAACTCATACTTTCCTATCTATCTGACAGTCTGATACCATGAATATTTTGTTCTCTATAAGATTATAAAAAATACTCATAAAATTTAATATGTTGTTCTTTATGAAATTCAAAAAAGATTTTGTTAAATCCACATGATTTTACAATGTTTGCCTGAGGTAAGAAAAGCGAGACCAATCGTGGGTTTCCGATGATGCACTTACAGGGGTCCTATTGTTCATGAAAGACAGATGTGAAAGAATTTTTCCAATATCCTCATGAAAAAATTTAATACCCTTTTATGACCCCAACCTATCGCAGAAGGCCATGTATTGAACAAACTAGAGTTTTCACTACCTGTGGATATATATAAATGGTCCTGCTATACTTGAGAAAAAGATTTTTAAACATTATTTCCTATAAATTTATAACCATCTAAAATTGTCATCTCCTCTTTGGGGCCACCCTTCCTCTAAGGGTCATGATATGAACCTAAGAATTCACAATACTTGGAGATGCTCAGGGCCATAGTCTGTGTGGAGGCCAGGCTCCCCTCCCACTTTCTTGCCTGGCTCCACCCCATTTTTGTTGCTGTGTAGTCAAAATTTATAAATTTTAGTATTTGGTTCTGGAGGGCTAAAATTTAGACAAAAGAATTTGAAATACCTTGGGATGATAAGCATATCAGTAGGAAAGGCATGTAATAGACAAACTTGAATCTGCAAAACCTGGGGATATATTCAAACATATATTGATAACCATGGTCCTCTTGTTCTTGGAAGATATAATTCCTATGTAAAACTTTGCTCCTCACTACAAGCTCATAGAACAATGCCTATACGAAGAGAACATTTGGACTTTGTACATTGATCCAAACACAATTTTGTGTTTGTATGCAGTTACCTGTCATCCCATAATCCTAAGTGAAGTGCATCTCACCTCAAACTACGTTATTGCAGGAACAAGACATTTTAAAGAAAAGATAAACTTGCCTTGATTTCAATGGACATATAGCAGAGGAATAGATGATTAAATGTTTTTGATTCAAACTTGCACTGTTCAAACTTTGATTTGGTAATGCGACATATATATCATATAAATATATATAAATCATTATCTGACGTGGATATTCCAAACAATAAAAATACGATTGTCTGTCTTTCAAAAAAAACATTGACAAGTTCGATATTTCAGTTGCAAATACATTTATTCATTGGTTGAACCCATTTGTCAGGAGCTGTGCGTTTCTAAAAGAAATCAATGAAATTACGTTGCATTTTTCAGTAAAAATCTGTAAGAAAGTGCCCATTTCTAAGGGAGAAAAAAATTTGTTTGATCCACCCATTCATTTCAATATTCATGCATCTCTTAGACACAAATCTTAATTTTCTTTCGGGAAAATGTCATCAAAAAATCTTTGTAATTAACCAATTACGGCTTTGATTAATCAACAGATAAAATGTGCATTAGTAAAAAGACTATAATTTCTGACATCGGACGAAAACCACGGAGGGAATTCCGTTAAATTAATTATTCTGGGTATTTTCACTACAGTTGTGCTTGAAAGGTATTTTTCCAAGTGTAGCAACCGAAAATAATGTTCTACAGCATGGTATCTGCACGGGAAACAGATTGAGAAAAATAGGTCGAAAATACAATACGGTCGAAAATAGGATACGAGACGATAAAATGGCATTTTTAAAAGCAGCGGTCCTAAAAGCAGTACCCTACGTTACATCACAATCATGTAGCAGCAATCTGGGAATGACAAACATATGTGCTCTTATAAAATAAACAAAAGCAAAAAACTACCAGTGCCACATAGCTCCCAAAACATTCAAATTCTGGTTGTACTACATTAAAACTGAAACACGATTTTAAGAAGCATTTCTTAATGACCGAAAGCTACCTTAATGATTGGTTGGACTCCCCCAACGATGTGAGAATGAGTTTCACACAAACCAGGCAAAAAAAATCGATTTTTGTACAGAAATCTTTATCCTTGCGATTTCATTGCTTCGTCAAAAATTTACAGCTACAGCATACTGATACATATATGAGAAATTTTCATAATTACTGCTAATGTCAGATTTGTTGAGGAGATCAAAATGACGTGTAGAGGGTTGACATTCTTATCTTACAATAAAGGAGAGCTTGCAAAGGGACATAACCCGTTTTTTACCCAAAGCGCTGTGCAAAAATTATTTCAAAACTGAACCACCTATCAGAGACCTATGTAGGCACCTGTTAATACAACAGAGTCATTGAATATTTCTGGGAAAAAAACTGTCGGTATTGTATACCATAGTTTTTTTTTTATCGTTAATTATTTCCCAGGAAGCACAAATATCTTATTGTATTAAATTTCAGAAAATTTTATTTAATATAAGTGAAAGAAATTCAACAATCAATGATTTTAAAATCATGTGTTTAAAACATTTTTTTCTGCCTCAAAAAAAAAAATTCAAAATATTTTTAAAAAATGTTTTCAAAAGATTGTGGTTACAATTTAAAGAAATTTATTGTTTTTTTTATAGTTAAAGATAAAATTAACCTCTTTCTGTTCAATCTTCATTGAACTCTTTTGTTCACTACATATTATTATTAACTTATGAACTGTTGACATTAAATGTTTCTCAATATGATAGAAACAATATAATAGAAGAAATAAAGAATGTCTGTCTGTCTGTCATGTTTTGAAAATCTTTAAAACATGAGATAACAAGATGTTATCACCAATATCACACTATATTTCATAAATACCTCTATATTTCATAAATACCTGTTTGTGCCCCCGTATGGCAACATAGCAAAGATTAAACTTTTCTTCAATGCAAATTTAATACATTGTATATTGGTACCAAAAGGAGGATATTCTCACTGGAAATACAATTGTGAAATATGAAAATAGGCCAAGGTTAAAGTTTTTTTATTAGTACAAAAATCTTCAAGGTCAAGGTCATTGGTATCCAATGAAAGGTCTTGCCACAAAAAATATATATGTAAAGTATGGAAGCCCTAGCCCTAACCGTTCAGAAGTTATGACCAAGGTTAAAAAATTTTAAAAGCAGGTCAAACTCCAAGGTCAAGGTCAAAGGTTTTGCTATGAAAATAAAAGGTCTTGTCACAAGGATTGAATATTTAAAATATGAAAGCACTAGCCCTTACCCTTTAAAAGTAATGGTTAAGGTTTGCTTTTTAAAAGTAGGTCAAACTCTAAGGTCAAGGTCAAAGGGTCAAAGTTCTTGGTATCCAAAAAAAGGGTCTTTCCACAAGGATTACATAAGTGAAGTATGAGAGGCACTAGCTCTTACCGTTCAAAAGTTATGATAAAAGTTAAAAGTTTTTGCACAAGTACAAAAATCTCCAAGGTCACGGTCAAAAGGACAGAGTAATTAGTATCCCATGAAAGGTCTTGCCACATAGAATACATCTGTATAGTATGGAAGCCCTAGCTTTAACCGTTCAGAAATTATGGCAAGGTTAAAAATTTTTAAAAGAGTGTCAAACTCCAAGGTCAAGGTCACAGGGTCAAAGGTCTTGCTATGAACTAAAAGGTCTTGTCACAAGGATTACATATATAAAGGATTAAAGCACTAGCCCTAACCCTTTAAAAGTTATGGTCAAGGTTTGCTTTTTAAAAGTAGGTCAAACTCCAAGGTCAAAGGGTCAAAGTTCTTGGTATCCAATGAAGGGTCTTTTCTTAAAAATTACATATGTGAAGTATGAAAGCCCTATCACTTACCGTTCAAAAGTTATGGCCAAGGTTAAAGTTTTTTCACAAGAACAGAAATCTCCAAGGTCAAGGTCAAAAGGTCAAGGTTGTTGGTATCCAATGAAAGGTCTTTCCAGAAAAATACATATCTTAAGTATACATGCCCTGGTATCTACTGTTCAAAAGATATGGACAAAGTAAAAGTTTGGAATTTTTGTGTAAAAGTGGGTCAAACTCCAAGGTCAAGGTCAATAGGTCAAATTTGGAAGTATCCAAAGAAAGATCTTGTCAATAGGAATACACATGTGAAATATGAAAGTCATAGCTTCACTAAATCAAAAGTTATGGACAAGGTTAAAGTTTTTGCGGACAAACAGACAAACAGACAGACGGACGTTTACGTTTACTTCGTTCACGGGGGCATAGAAAAATATGTTACGTCATTTAAAACCTGAATATATAATGCCATATTTCTATAAGAACACGAAGTTATATTTTCAAAACGTTCAAAACGAAGTTTCAGTGGTATATAGTTTTTGTCGTGTACATCCATCTGTCTGTCTGTCTGTCTGTCTCTCTGTTTGTCTGTTTGTCCGCAAAAACTTAAACCTTGCCCATAACTTTTGATTTAGTGGAGCTATGGCATTCATATTTCACAGGTGTATTTCTTGTGACAAGACCTTTTTTTGGGTATCACCAAATTTGACCTTTTGACCTTGACTTTGGAGATTGACCCACTTTTACACAAAAAATTTGAACTTTAACTTTGGCCATATCTATTGAACAGTAGATAACAGGACATTTAAACTTGACATATTCTTTGTATAAAGATCTTTCATTGGATACCAACAACTTT